CAGCCCTCCAGCCCTCCAGCCCTCCAGCCCTCCAGCCCTCCAGCCCTCCAGCCCTCCTTTAACATCTTTAGCTAGCCTTTCTTTTGTCCTCTCAGGTACAAACCTGGGGCTGCTCAGCTGGTTCTGACTGCAGCCCCACAAGCACAGCTTCCCACAATAGTGAGACTGTGTCAAACAACAAAAACTACAATAGTGAAATGCACTTTCAGGCTATGAATTTGCGTTTGAGAACAACTTTGGCTGTGCCACACACACACTGGCAGAAGCCATAGGTTGATGTTGCCTGTATCCTCGGTAGCTCTCCACCTTGTTCATTGAGACAGGGCCTCTTACCTATTGGACTAGGCTGACAGAGAGCCCCAGGGGTCTTCCTGTCTCAGCCTCCCCATTGATATAATTACAGGGGCACACCACCACACCCAGGCTTTTCTGAGCGCTAAGGGATTCAGACTCAGGTTCTCAGGGATGTGTGGGAAGTATTTTACCCACTAAGCCATCTCTCCAGCACCTAGCGAGTTCCTAGGTATTATTAAAGCTTGGTCTTCACTGGGCATTGGTGGCGCATGCCTTTAGTTCCAGAACTTGGGAGGCAGAAGCAGGAGGATCTCTGTGAGTTCAAGACCAGCCTGATCTACAAGAGCGAGTTCCAGGACAGCCTCCAAAGCCACAGAGAAACCCTGTCTTGAAAAACCAAGAAAACAAGAACAAATAATCAAAAAGCTCGTTTTTTTGCACCTCTCCCTGACCTCTCCTCCCAGCCTGGGATCTAAGAGGCTAAAGCAGCATTTACCCTTGAGCATGGCTGATGCCTAAGTGCTCCCAGTCACCCCAGTCACCCCAGGAAACAGCTGACCCAGAGTCAAGGGAGCCGGTGGATGTAAACAGAGTTTTATTGACGGGGATAGGGCTGGGGAGAGTCCTGGACTCAGCTGGCCACGTGGCATGCACGGTCAGCTGGCGGTCAAAGAGGGGACGTCACAAGGGGGACGGGTGGCATGGGCCTCTCTGACCACCCCAGGGCTGTATTTACAGGGGGGTCTGCCCACCTCTACCCCCCCAAGCCCCCCACAAGCCCTTTAGAAGCAGGTTCCCCCATCTCCCAGCCTGGACCCCCAGGTTCCCCTCTGCAGAAGCAGGATTTGAACTCCAAACCGGCACCTCGAAGGCCCCTCCCCTGGGCTTCTCTCCAGAAGTCCCCACATTGGCTCAGCCAACGCCAAGGTCTCTGAGGGCGCCATCACCCACATTCTGCGTCGCGCACTCGCACACCCACAGTGGCCCTGTCTCACACACACACACACACGCACACACACACACACTTCTGTCCCGGGCCCTTGCACACGAACAGGCCATGCACACAGACACACCCACACACGCAGGGGCCCGGGACCCGGGAGGGGGTCCCTTCTGCGGAGGATGAGTTGAGGCGGGAAGGCTCATGTCTGCAGCTCTGCCTCCCCCACCCCACGTCCTCACCCCCCACCCCGGCTGCCACCCCAAGAACGGGGCTGTGCAATTTCTTAGAGAAAAAAAAAACTCAAAATAAACAAAAAAATCAGTATATGC